AGCCTGAAGAGCTCCTGGTGCTGGAGCCGGGCAGCCCGCACCTGGGCCTGCTGTACCCTCTGCAGGAACAGGTGGGGTCAGGGACCCAGCCAACCATCACCTTGCCCCAGGGGGACCCTTCGTGGCCACCTGCTCCCAGGTCACGACACACCAGCAGCCCCATCTCCCTCATCCATTTGTCTGTCTGTGGTCCCTAAATCCCCCCTTACCCCCCCCCTGTCCCGGAAAATAAGCACCAGGAGGCTTGATCTTGCACGCTCCCTGCTGGGTTCTCTGAGCCCACAGCAGGGTCTGGAAGGTGCTGGGAGACAGGTCTCAGCTGACAAAGCAGATCAGAGGGCCCCGTACAGCACAGAAAAGCAGGCTGAAGGGATCCGAGAAAGCAAGCTTCGGGCACGAAGAAAGCAGGCTGCAGGCAGGAGGAATCAGGCTGCAGGGGCAGGGAAAGTGGACCGGAGCCCACGGTGCTCACCAGCATCCGGGCGGCCTTCTCCCGCCGCCGCTGCTGCTCTGTCTTCTTCTCCGAGGAGGCCAGGCGGACAGCAGAGGGTGAGGCCTCTGCTCCAGCGGCTGGGTCTCCTCCAGTCTCCAGCCCCTCGTCCTGGCCCTCACCCGGCCCCGGCTCCTCCTCCCCGTCCGACTCCTCCAGCAGTCCCTGGCACATCTCCCGGAAAGTGGACTCCTGGGGAGAAGGGGCGGGTCAGGCGCTGGGCCAGGAGCAGGCGGGATGTGGGATGTCAGGATGTGGGATGGAGGGCGCTCACCTGGGTAGCAGCCTGCTCTGTGGCGGGCGGGGCCAGCTGCCGCTCCAGCTTCTTTGCCTCCTTCTGTCGCTGCAGCTCCACCTCATGGGCTGCCCAGAGCAGGGTCTGGGAGTGGGGAGGGGATACAGGTGAGACCTGAGGCCCCCAAGGGCCTCTCCTGGGAGTCAGACCTGAACTTCTTCCCTCCCACCTGCCTCCCACCCCAGTGCCCACGGCCCACCCCTTCCCTGGACTCCCAGCTACAGCCTCACCCTGCTCTCCATGCGGCAGCCAGAGGGCTTCTAACCCTTAACCTACTCGGCCTGTTCCTTTGAAGGACAGTCTCGTCTCTTCATAACTGCAGTTTCTCTTACACAAAGTGCCCAGAACAGGCAAATTCATACAGACAGGAAGGAGAGCAGCGGCCGCCTAAGACTAGGGGAGATGAGGAATCGGGGCGTGACGGCTGATGGACGTGAGGTTTCTCCCTGGGGCGATGCAACATTCTAACACTGACCTCAGTAATGAATTAATAACAACTTTGAATACACTAAAAATCACTGAATCACGCCCGCTGGGTAGGTGAATCCTATGTGATGACAATTAAACATCAACATAGCAATTACATTTTAAACAAAGACATCTGTCCCATCTTTGAGTGAGGTGCAGCCTCCCCTGTGTGGGGCCAGCCTCACCCCTTCAACATTCAGCGGAACCACAGTCGCTGCCGTTGAGGGTCGAGGCCGTTGACCAGGTGAGGGACACTGCCTCCTGCTCCTGGTTGGCCCGGAGCCCGCCTTACTGTGAACCGCTCGGAACAGCACTCACAGGAGCACCTTGCGCCTGCTCAGTGATCTCCCTTTCTCTCCCGGAACCTGCACCCCCTGAGGACTGGGGGATGGTCCCCTCTATCCGTGACCTCTGTGCTCAACAGGTGCCTGTGAGATGAACTCAGTGACTCGCAGCGCCAGCTTTTCCCGTTGCAAAACCATCTTCGCCTCTGCACAAACCTCTCAAACGTTTTCTTTGCTAACAGTTGAAGACCTTTTGCACTGATGCCCCACAGAATTCCTGAAAGGTGCCACGGTCTCCCTCACACCTGGGCCTCTGCACACATACTGTTCGCTCTGCATGGAACTCCCCTTCCCCACTTGCCATAGCAAACCGCTCTCAGTCTCAGCTCTGATGCCCCCTCTTCCCAGAAGCCCTCCCTGACCCTCAAGGCTGGGCTGTGATGCCCCTTCTGTGCTCCTCCATCCCAGTAGGGGCATCACTGCCTGGGAATGGGTCTGTCTCCCTGACTGGACCACAAGCCGTGGGCGGGCAGGACCAGAGCTGTCTCAGTCATGCCGAGTCCCCAGCACTGGGCGGGCCCGGAGAAAGGGCCAGGCTGGGGCAAGCCAAGCAAGCGGCCGAGCACGGACTAAGGAGAGGCCTGGCGGGGCTACATACCTGGTGGTCCTCAAAGGATGGGTTGTAGGAGGCTCCCGCAGGTGCTGCCTCCACAGCAGGCGCTTGGGAGGGCTTGGTATGGAGATGCTGCGGCCGCTGGAGAAGGACAAGACCAAGGCAGGGTAAGGCCCAGGAGCCCCAGGACTCAAGCTCACCCAAGTGCCAGCGCGGGGACCCCAAGCTCGGGAGGCGGCCCGCGGCCTTCTAGTTGGGACATGTCTGCACAGCTGGGCCTCGTGGAGTAGCATCCCCAGGACAAGCAAGGCCCCTGCACGCAGGGGTCACGTTTGCCCTTCCTGAAAAGAGCCCCTGTCGCCCCAGGGGTGGGAGTGGGGTGGCTGACACTCGCAAAAGCACGTGGTACAGCTGGTCTCTACGGCAGTCATCTGTCCATCACTGAAACTGGCAGCAGCATTTGGCAGAGGATGTGAGGTCCTCTGTCTGCTGACAGAGGGCTGACAAACACTCACAGTGCGGCCCTCCCTCCCCGGGGAGCTTGTGAGAGGCCTAGAAGCCTGGCCCACCTCAAACCTGCTCACCAGAGTCCGCAGCCCCCCAGGAACCGAGTACACACTCAGCACAGCACCTCCGCATCCAGACGCACCCCGTCCGTGCCCATCTGGCCTCCACCCCAGCAAAGGCTCTCAGTCTCCAGCAGAAGCCCGGGGATCACCCTGGACGCCCCCTGCTCTGGGCCCCGCCCCACACCCAACTGCCCGCCAGGCCTGGTGTTTCTGCCCCGGAACTTGTCTCCCCCGCTTCCTCCTACCCCAGGTCTCCAATCCCTCAGAACTGTCTTTTTTCCAGTGTGTTTCCCTGATCTCCCCAAAGTGTGTCCGGCTGACCCACCACCACCCTGCTCTCTCCCTTCGGGGCACCGACTCGCCGCCTGGCCCCAGCACGTGAGGTCCTGGTCACAGGACAGTCGGGCTCTGAAATGGAGGCTCGAAAGCCCAAATGGAGAGCACTTCCCTGTCCCCAGCCCCGTCCTCTGACCTCTATCACCCCAGACGCCCTTCTGATGACGACCGCTTACCTTTACTCCTTTCTTCTTCGTCTGCTCCAGGAAAAATTCATCCTGACCTTCCAAGGGCCGGTCCAGAGGGTCTGTGGGGGCAGTGAGGGGGGTGGCTGCTGGAAACACTGTGGCTCTGAGGGGGCCCCTCCTTTCAGAAAGTTGGCACTGATGCACAGGCGAGAGAAGGACAGATTCTCAGACCCCAAAGGGCTTTGAATGCCCAGCAAAAGAGCATCTGGACGGAGGCCAGAAAGCAGAAGAGACCCAAGGCCGAGGGCAGGGGCCGGCCTGCTTGGGAGAGGGCGCACTAACGGGAGAAGGGCACCACCCTGGGATGCCTGGCTTGGCTGAAGACCTTCCAGGCAACGTCGGCAGGGCACCAGCCCAGCCCCCACGACTGCGAGCAGAGGCAGGGACACTCACTGTCTTTGGCCCAGAGGTCGTAGAAGGGCCGCTCGATGGTGTCCTGCGGCCCGGGCTTGACTCTGGCTGCGGGAGGGTTGAGGAGCCGGGACTGCGCCCTGCGCACCTCCCGGGGCAGCTCGCCCTGCTTCGCCAGCCTCTCCCATAGCTGCTCCTTCCGCTTGAGCTTCTTGGCGTTGGGGACCTGGTGGGCAAGGACGCTGGGTGGGAGAGAAGCAGCAGGAGCGCGGTGGGTGAGTTAAGCTCACACCCCTGCCGCCAGGGTCCCCAGCGCCTCCTCCCCAAGCGCCCGAAGGCTCCTCCTGCTCCTCGCTCAATCCAGCAGCCTCAGAGACCGTCTCCCCAGGTCTGTCCCCAGCACGGGCCCCTCTCCCGAGCCCTTGACCCAACATACAAAGGCCTCCGGGGCCCTTGCCCTGGGTGTCTCCCAGGCACCTCACTCCAAAATCAACCCTGGCCACTCCTCCTCCCATAGCCGCACTGTCCACTCCATCACCCACCCCGCCTCCCTCCTTTAGGGGTCAGTCACTCAGCCCTGCCTAACTCACCTCCTGACCCTGGCTCCCACCCAGCCCCTCCTCTCCATCCCCAGAGCCCCCAGCCAGGCCCATCCTCACAGGCCCCAGACAAAGCACCCTGGACCTGGGCCCCACTGCCTCCAAACAACTCTCCAAAGCCCAACTCAGACCCTCTCCTCTCCTCCAGTGGCCCTCACCTATCACTCTCCCTCCCCGGCCGCAGAGGAGGGCAGGGGGCCCGAGTTCCATGGGAAAGAAGGGTCTGGGGCCAGTGGGACACTTACTCTTTGGGGACTGGGACCTTGGATGTGTTCTCTAGGATGAGGTCAACCCGAAGGGGTTTCTTAAGAAGCAGTGACTTCTTCTGGCCTTTGGTCCTCTTCTTACTCAGCTCTGGAGGTGGGAGGAAGGACAGGAATCAAGACCTCAGGCCTCCTCACTCTCCCAGATCCAATTCCTTCCCCTCTCACTTCAGCTCCACTGGGGCCATCAGACTCACATCCCAGCACAGACCAGAGGCCCCAGGCTGGCCCCAGGTCCCCAGCTAAGGAAACAGGACCCCAAGGGCAGCGCCCAAGGTGCACAAGTTGTGACCCCCACCCAACCCATTTCCTGGGCCAGCTGGAGGCAGCTCAGTGCTGGGGACACAGGGAGTCAGACCCACAGCCCTGAAGACGAGTGCCTCCAGCTGCAGCAGGGAAACGGCCACAAAATCACTAATGCTAAGGAGGAAGCAAGCAGGTGCTCAGGCGGCAGGAGGCCCAGGAAGCTGGAGTCGGGACCCGATCCAAGACAGCAATTCTCAGCACAAGAGAATTTTCTGCCTTTCTTCCTAAAGCCCAGTAATCAAAAAGACTCTAGGACAAAACAAAAGGACGGAATCCACATCCTTCCATTTGCTATGGGACCTCGTGAAAGTGACTTTGCTCTCCTGCGCTTCCAAAACGAGGCCACTGACTGCCGACCTCCCAGGGTCGAGAAGGGGAGATGTAACTACAGCTGACCACTGAACAACACGGGTTTGAACTGCAATTGGGTGTCCACTTATACAGATTTTTTTCAACAGCAAATACCACAATACCACACAATCCGCAGGCGGCTGAATTCAAAGATGTGAAACTGCAGGTGCAGAGAGCTGACTCTAAGTCACATGGGGACTTTTGACTAAGTGGAGGGTCAGCACCCCTCACTCCAGCATCGTCCCAGTGTTTGCTGTATTTCAGGAAGGGCACAACACAGTGATCACCCAAGAAAGCATAGGCTGGCTGTAATCCTACTTTTTTTTTTCCCCCACCTAAAGCAGACTCTATAACTACTTCCTCACCCGTTCACCAGAGTAGGTCTCTGCTTTACCCTTCTAGTCCCAAAACTCAAGCCCTTACCTCTGTGCAAGCTGACCTCTTTAATAACCCCTCCTCACCTGCTCAAAGACGCCTACGCCTCGAAGAGTTTCTTTCACATTCTTCTGTTCACTGAAACGGGCCCGCTCATTTTCCTTAGAACAGATCCCTTGAATGATCTCATACATGTTCGTTAAGGGGGTCCTGCTGTTAGAACTTGCCCTCTTCGCTTTTTTCTCCTCTCCTTAAAGCAGATCGCTTCCCCTTTGTCTGTTTTTCTAGGCATTAACAGTAAACCCTACTACTCACTGAAGCAAATGCTAACTCACTTCTCCACTTGCTTTCAGCTGGTCCCAATCGTCCATTTTGGCAAACTAAAGCAAGCAGGTTAAAGTGAGTTCCTTAGCTACTCATTCAAGTCGATTATCCTGTTCTCATTAAAGCATGATACTTTAACTAAAACAGCTCTGATTCCTTACAGCAAGTCCTTGATTTGCTCTTCTGCAAATAAACGGAGACCTCCCAGTTTATGTCTTATCTAGTCACCAAGGCAGATTCCTACTGGCTTCTTTGCGCATTGAAACCTCTGACATCGTATAAACGAAAAGAGCTCTTCAGGTTAGTCTCGAGCTTCCTTTCTGCTCACTACAGGTCCTCTTGTTTATAGTTAAGAGCCTTTTTAGCAGGTGTCTGCCACCCAATCCACGTTATTAACACAGTTCCTTTCAGAGGCTGAGATAGGCTACTTAATGACTGATAACGTCATATCCCCCCACAAAAACCTTTCCTCACCTTTATTCTTGCAGCCTGTGTCCACGAAGAAGAGTTTTTCATCGGGCGCCTCTGATATCAAGCCACTGGGAGATGCAAATGCAGAATGTTAGCCACAGATGTTAGGGAGGGAGCGAGATGCTGCGGAAGGAACAGGTTTAACCTCTCAGTTCCCTGCTTTCCTATCATGTTCATTCAAGCGCGCTCTTCCCTCATGGGAGTCCCACCAGGCTAAGGCCCCTCCCTCCAGTTTGCAGAACTTCGTGCTTAAATCACACTAAACTAGGGTGGATGCTTGCGACGTACTGATACTAGGAAAGGATTCATTGTTTACCGGGATTCTAATTTAACTGGGCGTCCTTTATCCGATAACCCTATCAAATCCTCCAGCCCTCACCCAGAGTTCCCAGCCGTGCTCGGGACAGGCGCTCCGGCCCCTAGTAAGTCCCCCCCAAACAGCTCGGCCTCACATCTCTCCACACAGACCGGGGCCCTGCTGCCGGAAGTCCCGCCCCACGCACCCGCTCGTGCGCTCCTGCAGCCGCACGTCCTCCAGGAACTGGTCGACCTCCAGTCCCAGCGGCTCCTGAGCGAGCCGCCGCCAGCCCCGCTTCTTATTTCTTGGGCCTCGCCGCCGCCGCCTCAGCGCCGGGTCCACCGAAGTGGGCCGCAGCCCCAGGAAGCCGGAATTGGCCTCATTTTTCGAGCCGTGCCTGCCGCCACCGCCACTGCTTCCCGCCGCCATCTTGTTAAAGGAAGAACTTGACTGCCCGGCGCCCCCGAAATCCGATTTGGGGCATGCGCGCGCAGACCTCCCGTGACCTACTTCCGGTGGCCACCATCTTGGTAAGGTGGCTGGATCTGCAAAGGGGCGTGGAGGCTGCCATCTTGGTAAAGGATAAATGGCTCCTCCCTCTTCTGCACGTGCCCCTCGGCCCCGGGTTGTAGGTTTGAGGCTGCGGCCCCCCAGGAGAACTTTTTTAATCTGAGTATTGTTTTTAATTTTTAATTTGCTGATTTAAAAAAATTAGTTTTCTAGTGGCAATCTAGTTTTCTAGTTTCAGTGGTAGAGTGCATGCCTAGCATGCATGAGTTCCTGGGTTCAATTCCCAGTACCTCCATTAAAAATGAATAAACCTAATAACCCACCCCCCTAAAAAGAAAAAAAAGAAGAAGAAAAACTAGTTTTCTTAGAAATGTTAGAACTGCCAGTGGCAGATTCGGCACAAGACACAATCCAGTCTCAGAACGTTTGGCTTTGTCAAGTGTTCCAATCTTGGAACCTTGGAAATCGAAGTTTTCGGAATGTCGAGATTGGAAGCACAGAACGTTACACGCGAGGGATGTTAAAAACATACACTATAGAACCCTAGAAGCGCAGGCTCAGAATCATTAATTTAGGCAAGCTAAGTAGTTATGCCTCAGTTGCTTCATCTATAAAATGGCGATTAAATATGGAGATTAAACAAGATAATGTATCAAATCTCTTAACATTGCGCCAGGCATGTAAATGTTAGCTATTGTTACTGTCTCGCCCTATGAGACTTCATCTTAAAATCAACTAATGTATGCTGTTTATAAATAAGGAAGGAAGCTCCCAGGCCCTTGGGCCCTGGCAAGCATCCATAGGGATCCAGAGCCTGGTAAGGCCGTTCTCGACTCGAAAAGGAAAAATGGCCCAGAGAGGGAAGGCGCCATGCAGGGGTTCACACTGCGGAACTCGGCATCGGGAAGGGGATGGGTCCGATGGCCCGGGACTTTTGGCGCTGGAGATC